GAATTCGTGGTAGTAGATCAACCGGAGGTGAAGCCATGTTGATCTTCGCTTGGATACTGCTTGCAATGGGAGAGCAGAGGCTCTATGATGACTAACTCCTATAGCTTCGAATTTGAACACAACGATGTAATTCCACGATAATTATCCAAGTTCCGTTTACTACCCTTTTTACATACAGGGAAGGGAACATATGCGCAAATTTTCAGGTTGATGGAAAAATGCCACACGAGTGGACTATCGGAACAGATGTTTTAGCGGTGACAGAAAGTTAGCGATATGCTTCTTCCCAGAGAGAGCTTGACCGAAAACTGGAACGTTGCTTGCTGCTAGGGCCACGTATTCGTTGGTTAAGCTCTCGTCAGAGAAGACACTTGAAAACTTGTTGGAGAACAAGTGGCAGACCTCCTGTAGAGTGGAAGTGACTTCGCCGTTCAATATGGATGCTAACCTCTACGCCGGAGTCGCCCCCAGTAGACGGGACTATCTGCACTGCTCCTTCACGTACTTCTAGAAAGACTTCGGGTGCGACTTGAATTTCCTTTGAATTCCTATGCAAGTTGCATTGACGACTGATTCGCTTGAACTGAGAAGTGAGCTTAACATACTGACGTTTCAGCGACATTTAGTGAATTTCCTTAACGCCATTAATCAAGTTTTAGCTTTAAGTGACTTTGCGGCAATTATTCATTTAATTAAGTAATAAAACAATGATTGTTCACGATTCTGCTTCGAAAAAAAATGCATTAGTCCCTGCACTAGTCATTATTTTCATCTAATTGCATCAGCATTCAGCATGTGGAAAATCCAGTTATCCAGTCTGAACGTTCCAGTGCGAACCGTTTAAAGCGTGGACTCGAAAATCCAGTTGGAATGCGTTTGAATATTTTAATAGTAAAAACAAGAAAAAACAAACCGTGGTTACATTCTGATACATCTTGTTTGAATCTAGAGCCAGAGCCCTAAATGTTTCCGGTGAAAATCCAAATTATTCCAAATAATTTGAAAAGAAAAATAGTCAAAATTAGTATTTTTACTCTTCAATTCCGTTTGTTGATGGGGCAAGACTGATAATCAACATTTCAGTGCAAATATTTCAAAGGCGCATAATTGTATTTGTAAACAATGGATTTCCATTTAGTAGTATTAATTTGGAGGGGTGAGCTTTTATGTACGGGAAATCGACGGCCAAAGCCATTGTTTACAAATGCAATAACACTTCTTTGAAATGTTTGCACTGAGTTGATCAACCATTTGGAATAATAAGCACTATATTCTCAGCAGGCCAATCTCGTTTTCTTTCAACGCTACAAAAGCCTACTCAGATCACGCCATCATTGAAAAATCGAATTGGATTACTGTACCTAGTCAGTTTGCTGGAAGCCGAGCAGACTCTCCGATTCCAGCGTGCAAAGAGCCAAATGCTACTCCCACGCGCTACGCAATAAAGGGCCTGTCACGTGTTCTAGAGCGAAATTTATGAACTTTAAATGTTTAGGCATTCCAAGTTGTTACAATGTTGTTAAAATTAGAACAATCTGTCATTGGTGTTGACACTGTATTGCATCAGTAATGTTTACCTTTCAGGAGAGTTTTCATATGACTAGTTCATAAGTGGCTGTGAACAGATCAAATGAAATCGTACAACTGCAGATAACGCTCTATGGGCAAATATTTAAGCTTCGAAAACGGTGTGACGAACGTCAATTCATCTTCGGGGCGGTCAATAATGTAAACAGTTGGTTGCTATCATGCGGACGTTGACTAAAAATGGGCATCAAATTCTAAGCGACTGTTTCTATGTATTTGGTTCGGCCACTTATCGAATGAGCGGTTTTTGTTAGAATAGAATGTTTGGAAATCACACCAGCTAGGCTTAATTTTGATGTAATTTAAATATTGCCGGTCACCATTTGGGAATTGGGAGTTTTGAAGTTGTCAAACGGAGGTTTTTCGTTAAAAAAAAGAGGCAACTAGATCATTTCCATTTATGAACGATGGCTTGTTCCATATCTGACAGATAACTGTCATTTGATTGGGTTGTCACACAATGGGCAAACACTTAATATAAATGATTTCCATGTAGAAAAAGCTCAGAAAAAAACGGCAGCATGCAGTTCTTGGAAAACATAAACAAGATGCCTACTAATTGATTTTCATTGACAAAAGATTTTAGATGTTCTGGAATAAATACCAGGAAAGAGTTAAAAACAAAATTGGCCTTACCTCGGACCGCAGTCAATTTCAGAGCGATTCAGGGAAAACTGGCAATTCCAATTGGAACGATTGGCCGGTGTATGTGCATCATCAGCAAATTTTTGCCAACTAGTTGGATTGAAACTGGCTGGCGTTGCGCTACGTACAAGCGAAAAACTGCCCAGCATAGTTGGGATTTCCACTTTTATACAGCATGTTGCGTATTGTTGTTGTTGTTGGTAGAAGTTTAGAAAACTAGCTTTGAGATTGCGATGGATGTATGCTGTAATACAGGAAGTCAGAATGTATCCAAAATTGATGTGACCTTGCGATTGGCGTGCGCTAGAAGCTTAAGTCGGAATGCTTAATTGAAAATAAGGAATTCGTTCGATTGCATGACGTTTGTCAGTAATAAAATAAAAGTTTTTTTTTTAGGTTCAAACACGCATTGTGTAGATTATTCATAGTTTGAGCACAGTTTCCATGTGTTGTTTAGCAAGATTAGAGTCTGGAGTACTAGAGAGCTCCGTTATCGGATTGCCGAGGTCACCTCAAGAACGGCCTTCAGAACACAATTTGTTAGCATACACAGAACTGATTAGCGAGTGTGTGTGATGTAAATAATGCGTTAAGGTGTATAATGTTGTCAATTGCCTTTAGTTAAGATGAACAAAAAATACATTTATTTTTTCAATATTGATATTTTAAAAGTCAAGTAACTCTTTTATCAAACATCAAACCAGCATTTGATGTTGATTTAATTATATTTTCGACAACCAAAGGAAGCGTTGGGCGATCCGACTTGGTCATGACCTGCTATTTATCTGTTGATATTTACATATGTTGACATGACAAAGAGCTTCATCACATGTCGCTATATCCCAAACAATAAATCGGTTGATGGACCACTTTGTCAAGCAGACAGCGATTGCACAAAACTGGACCAACACATTACTATGAAACGCACCACGTTTGACTGCTTTTCTCGTTGTTCTAGAAGAAAAAATCTCAAAATATTGTTTTATTTCAAAGTTCGAGTAGTAGGAAACGTTGAAACTTCTCGAATGAAATGGTTAGTTGTTCGCTAATCCTCATCAGGCAAACTATGAAAATCAACGAAAAATGGGTGGTAATCAAGTTTTTTTTTAAGGAAAAGATGGATAGAATCCACAAATGGCCGTCAAATTGCCTTGGCTATTTGTCGCTTCTATCAATGTTGTCCTTAACCATTCCAGTTGGACTCTCGCTCGCTATACCAGCCCAGGCAGCATAGATGTAGATAAGCCAAATGTGACGATTCTACCGGCGACGACGACGACAACAATATGCTTATTATTCGCTAGCATCGCAGTGACGGAGCTCAGTCGCCGGCGAAGTCTTCAGCGAAGTGGTCATGTACCTACTGCTCTAATAATATTTTCAAGAAAGTCGTTTGTCCGGTTCAGTCGATTCAGGTGCAGCGTTTATCGGGTTTGAAACCGAAAAAAAAATTCAGTGAACTTTAGTCCCAAGTGCTTGGACGCCGTCGAGTGAATACCTAATCGGTTGACAGAGCGTGTGGACTTTGAATTCGCGCTACGATCGACATTGCCAGTGATATCTTATCGAAGTCAGGTTGCAGTGGCGTTATTCCATCAATATTATCGTTTGGAACTTCACAATCTCTGCGAAGATTGGCGTGTGCGCATCCAGTCCAGGTGAGTTGCATCTCGATAGATCCAGGCTATCTAGTATATTAATAGCCAATCACGACAATGCGTAATTAACTATACGGTGTGATGGCCGGAAGGCAGTAACGGTAGTCGTGAAGTGGTGGGCTGCCCCTCGGTAGGCCATGACTGACGTCACTTTGGTTACTCTCGTGTGCGCTGATTGGCTGGATCGAGGGGCTCGTCCAGCGTGTTTGCGAGAGACACCTTTCTTTTCCTCCATACTTTTTCAGAATATGACGATGTTCGATGGCGCTTTTGTATTAGCAGCACTGACAGTTGTGGCGCACATGCGCCTGTGAAAGTTTATCGTAAACGGCGTGAAATAGTGATGGTTCACAAAAATTTCGACATTTATAATGTAAATTTTTAAGAATCAGTTTTATAACTGGAGGATCAATCAAGTTGCTGGGATGACTCATATGCTTTCCTTCCCTTATAATTAGTTAATTTTGACCGAAAATTTTCTTATTGGGATCGTTAGCTATAATGTTCCTTAATGAAAATGGTGTGGTTATCTTGCTTAACGACGTGTGCGGGGTATCATCCAAACCATTTGTGGAAAAGTTCGACTATTTGGGTTATCGTTCGCTTATGGTATTTGTTTATTAGGGTTGACACTTCGAGAAAAAAACTCATTAGTTATTATGATGCTATTTTGCACTTGCAAGTTACAATACGAGATTGTAAAGTATGTGAAACCTGTTTATTTTGCTTTCAGAGAGTCATAATTTGATGATCAATGAATATTCACTCTTAATAAAATCACTGATTGTGGTTCTCTAAATGCAAAATTAACAAGTTGTATGTGTCAAATACATAAATTCCAACCTTTTCTTGTAACTTACATTTACAAACCCTCATCTAATGATTTCATAATTCTGAAAAACATTTTTTTTATTGCCGCTACCCTGGTTGGGACATTTGTTTGAGGTAGATACCTGAGACACGTCCCTGCAAATTGTGTTCTAGGTCTGCCCTCCGAAAAGGCAGTTCGATTTCACGAACTTTTCCCACAGCTGCAGTGGGATTTTCCTAACCTGAAAGCGATATCGTACGATTCTCGGTCCACAAAGCGCGTCACACAAAAGCCGAGTGAGTATTGAACGAGTGAGTGATTGCACGGCAAAGTTTTCGCGGTGATCTTCGCTGATATCAGGGGATCTAAAGCGTCGTGCCCCAATCAAACTATAGAAATCAATCATTTTTGAAGCCCTTCCCGTGGCGTCGTCAAAAGTCAAAACATTCGTGTGTGCTCTTATCGAAAATCCCGTTACCGATAATCGCCCGCGAGCGAGCATTCAATCACCGCCAAGCGGAGCTCGTAAACAACTCAGTATAGAAGGTGCCCCCGATCGATACGGATCATGACTTACGCCGTAGTAAACATTTAGTGGCAGGGAACCAGTAAGCGAACTATATTTACCGTGCCCGATTCATTCATATTCGGAAATTTCACTTTCATCATTGTAATAGGATTTTCCGCTTATGTTCCATTCACAGATAAAACTTCTACACATAGCACGCATACACATCCGTCGGCCAGTTGGACATTATGCAATTTGTATGAACGAAGAAGAACGTGGCGCTTGAGATATACCTCCTTGCTCTTGTTCGTCATCGTCAACGACGTCACTGGCACATCTCTGCAGCACGCCAGTCAGTGTGTATTTGTTTATCAGCGTGGAATTCCACTTGTGATATCACACACCCGCCAGTAAAAAAAAACGTACTTTAGACGACGAACCCCAGTAGGCTGTGAAATCTCAGTGAGCTCGTTTATTCCGGAGATTAGAGTTCATTACAACAGTGTCTAAGGAAACCATGGGTTCAGCGCAACGTAGCAAGCTTATCGGTGTCATCGATGAGGGAACCAACAGCGCGCGGTTTGCGGTAAGTCAAGAGGAGTGGGATCTTGGTCTTCTTCTAGTTGTTGTGTGTGTTTTGATAAGTTTGTCGAGCAGGTATAAGGAATATGTGCTGCAGCTATGTCACGTCATAGAGGAACTGTTGCCATGCTAGACGGGTACCGACCGGTCTGTTAGAATGATGTAAAGCCGTCGAAAGAATAAGAATCATTTTGAAATGCCCTGAGACGCGATCAATCGTGACTGTACAGAAAAAAAACTGCATAGTTCTTCTTCCATGGAACACTTAAGAACCCCGGTTCGTAACAATAGTTCCTGGAAACTGAAGCTATTTTTAGAACCGGCTAAATCAGAGAAAGAACAAAATTCCAACGCCAAATATAGGGATTCTTCAATTCCATTTGACATGTACATTCTTGTCGCTGAGCATTCTACCAATCGTGTGGAGGTAGAGACTATAGAGGTAGATGAAACAGGCTCTTTTGAATTTGAACTTAGGAAGCATAGGCTTTCAGGGAGCGTGCGTAGAGTACTTTCACCGGTTTCTTGTTCGATCACGTTTTGGTTTTTTTTTATAACGAGAAGGGAAAAAAACTAGTTGATGCAGTTATTTACATAATCGAGTCGACTTATAGCTTAATCCACTTGCCGTTTGATGTTAAAATTTTCAACAATAAGGTTCCCAAATGCACCATGCGAGAATCGATCGATAATAACCAAAGTGTCAACTGATGCATGTGTTTCACATATCAATTGACCGATGCGAAGTGTACACAACAATCTGAACCGCCAATCATCGTGTCATTCGTTATCTCGAGGATTTTTGACGCAGACTGTAGGTTTGTTCCCGTACTTGCTTTTTTGCTTTTGCTGTCAGCTTATTTTTTTTTAAAGACCGCGCAATTCGGGGATTCCTGTACTATTTTCTTACAGCAACTTGCAGTAAAAGCAAAAATGCAAGTACGGGAACAAACCTTATGTCTTACGGGAAGGGGAAGGAAGGGGGTAAATCGAAAATCTAAAATTGCGACCGTCACGAACAGATGTTAGGTTTTGAATGCTTATAAATTTGACATTTATCGATGAAATTTAAATCCAAATACACCAATCGATAGGGAATAACTCTACAAATCTGCTGAAACAAATACTTTTATTTTGGATTTTTGAATAAGCAATTTCAACTCCGAATTGAAAAAAATAATTTGATAACCTACCTAACTACGGATAATTTAACCTAACTAGAACGAGCGCTTATGATCTGGTGATTTGATCTCTGACATGCGTCTCTAAACCTTTCGAGGTTGAGCGTACTCTGTTCCTCCAGTCACTAAAGACCAGCCATTTGCTATTGCATTCATATTTTAATTTTAATCATCTGCAGTCCACGCAGAACACGATGAACTGCTGCCACATCGACAGCCTAAGAAAAAAATAGCAGAAATGTAGTAAAATCTTAATTTCGAGTCCCCGGAAGACTGTTGAGGATCATCCTAAGGATCTTCAAATAGCCAATACATGTCATCGTATGACAAAGCCTGTCATATGACATTTTAGTTTGGTACTGTAATTTGATAGCTTGTTTTGCAAGTGTCAGAAGCAAAGGCAGTCGATTATCACAGAAAATGCGTCGACTACGGTGACCGCTTACAAGTCTGCCTGGACCCGACAAGTATTTTTTGATGATATTAACAAGGAAGATCGAGAAGTTGTGTCGATGCAGCTTGTACACTAGGCCATCATGCCTACGTGCCGAACGTACTCAACCGGGTGGAAGTGTCCGGACTCAAGGTGTTGTACCATAGAGGTAACTCTAAGACTAGAAGGTCTCGAAGAAACGTGCTCAACTTTTTGGCTCAGCTCTGGTACTCTCTTCGGTCCCAAGCTAATCGATGCACCCCTCGAAACATAGGAAAATCCACGAACCTCTGATTTTATCTGTCAAAACAAACATAGTGTAATTTCAACAAGAATGGGGTACGTTAATCCATTTGCTTGGGACCTATAGGCTAGTCAAGTAGTGAGCCGATTTAAAATCGTTAGTTTCCACCGGTTGGTTGTACTGCGCTTCCTGCAGGTAATTTAAACATGATGGTGCCATTTTTATTGCGCCGACTGTTGTCCCAAGCTTGATGTTTACCGTTCATGTCGCCAGCGATTTGTTTAGGGCAGTAAACCGCAACGATGATAATGAGGCCGACAGGAGTAGAAACTTCCGTCTCTACGGCTTCGATCATCTTCAGGCGGAAGCTCGGCAGCAGCCGACAGTAGATGTTCCCCCTTAGATCGATGGCCACTTCCTCCGTCGGACCTGGTTCGATCTAGCCTCACGAGCCGGAAATCGGGAAGAAAGACGTGTCGAACTCGATGCTCCTGCTCTTGAGCGAGCAAGCGTTCCAATTAGCAGTTTAGATGGCTTCACGGTCCATACTTATTGATGGGGGATACGGCAGCACGAAGCTGTTCAGATTGATGCCAATTGAGTACTGGCGGTGCCCGATCGGGATCGTGTCTGGGCCAGAATAGCAGTAGGGTCAACACGCAGCAACTTCCCAACTCAGATTTATCGAAAAACCTCAAGAGTATAACCTTTCCCTTTATCTTCCCACCCCAAACAGGTCTTCAAATTGCCCCAGTTCGAGGAGCTATGTTCGCACGAGCTCAGCATCACCCAGATCATTCCGCACGAGGGTTGGTCCGAGCAGAACCCGGTCGAACTGCTGGAGGCGGTACGGTTATGCGCGGCCGAGGCCTGTATCAAGCTCGAAGCTCTCGGCTATCTGGTGAGCGATATCGCTTCGATCGGTATCACCAACCAGCGCGAGACGACCGTTGCGTGGGACAAAAATACCGGAGAACCGCTGTACAATGCAATCGGTATGAGACTTTAATTCCCTTTTGGGACGAAGATAATTTAGATTAACACTAACCTAAAACCTTGCCTTGTTCATTATCTTATCGTTCGTTGCCGGCCGCGGGATTTGCGATAGCAAGAAAATTAATTTCTTATTTATTTTTTTCTCGAAACAGTGTGGAACGACATCCGAACCAATTCCACCGTTGATAAAGTGCTGGCTCGCATCCCAGATCAGAACCACAACCACTTCCGATCGATTTCCGGTCTACCGATTTCCCCGTACTTTTCTGCCCTCAAGCTTTCCTGGTTGAAGGAAAATGTCCCGGCCGTTCGACGAGCCTGCCGAGAGAAGCGATGCTACGCCGGAACGATCGACACCTGGCTGATTTGGGTATTGTCCCGTTAACTCTTTCCGTAAACTAATCGAATCTAACCTGCATTTTTATTCTTCGTTTCGAACAGAACCTGACGGGAGGTCCCAACGGTGGGGTGTTCGTGACGGACGTGACCAATGCGTCGCGTACCCTGCTGATGAACATCGAAACCCTCTTCTGGGATCCGATGTTGATAAAAACGTTCAACCTGCACGTCGACATGCTGCCGGAGATTCGCAGTTCGTCGGAAATCTACGGAACCATCAAGCACGGCGGCGCTCTGGATGGAATTCCGGTCAGTGCCATCCTGGGTAACCAGCAGGCCAGTTTGCTCGGCCAGCGGTGCATTCGCGAGGGCCAGGCGAAGAATACCTACCGGAAAGGGTGCTTCCTGTTGTACAATACGGGGACCAGGGTGAGTTGTTTCTGTGGCCTTCGAAGACTGGGCGTGGTTATGCTAATGGGCTGGTTTGACTTGTTACAGTGCGTACATTCCACACACGGTTTGGTGACGACGCTGGCGTACAAAATGGGACAGGATAAGCCGGCGGTCTACGCGCTGGAAGGTTCGGTAGCGGTTGGCGGTATGGCGATGAAGTGGCTCAGAGACAACCTCGGGCTGCTGAAGGACATTCCAGCCGATTCGGAAAAGGTAAGTGCCGAAAATGATGTGGTTGGTTGCTCTGTTAAGGGGTCAGTGTTTTTTTTTGTCGTTCCGTTTTAAGGTCAAATGAATGTCGAAACAATTCAATGTTAGGATTTGTGATCATGTGAGGAATCATCGAAAAAAATAGGCTTAAATTTTTCGAAAAAAAAAGTTAACAACTCGACACCTATTTTCATCTAAAAGTTGACAATTCTTTATCTATTAGTTTCTAAAGAGTAGATATTCAATTCACGTGGTGCATAATTCGGCACCTATTTTTATATTATACCTCTTGATCAAAGCATTTTCATCCCATATCTCTTGATTTCAATTTCGGGATTTAGTGACTCCATCTCGGGACTACCGGGTGCGACACATCAAAATCTCAATCTAAATCCTATCCTAAAAATCTCATGCTAGCAAATTAATCTACGAAAAATCTACTTTAATTTGTCGCATCTACTTTCATCGCGCTTTATCCTTTTGCAAGAAATCTTCAAAATCTTCATTAATCATTAATGGTGCACGCTCAGCACAATATAACGAAATGTTGCCTGCATCGAAGATAGAGTCATCCCCATCGGGACTAACTGAATTTCATTTCGAAATTCTCTGAGTCCTATTATGGATTCAAAAAATCCATTTTGGTATACTCTGAATTCTATTACTAGATGCCATTTCTGAATTCCTAGTTTATAAATATCTGAATTCCATTTTGGAATTCTCTAAATCCAATTCCAGGATTCTTTCAATCACATTTTCGGATTCTCTGAATTCCCCATTTTGGGATTTCCATTTCAGGAATATCTGAATAACGTTTCTACGTTCGTTTATTCCGAATGCATAAATCCCATATTGGCATCTTCTGAATGCGATTTTGGGATTCTCTAAATTCCATTCCGGTATTCGGAGAATAAGTCCAATTTCAGGATTTTTTGAATGTCATGTTGATATTGATCAGGACTCTATTTTTAAATTCTTATTTCAGAAATCTGATCTCTGTCTGATCTGATCATTTGAATCTCATTTCGAGATGCTAGGAATTCCATTTCGAGATTCTTTGATACCATGTCCATATTCTCTGATTCCAGTTCTGGATTCCAATTGCATAAAGATATGAACCCTATTCCGGATTCAGAAATACCATATTGGCATTTCAAGAATTCTATTTCGAGATTCTCTGATTTCATTTCTGGATTCCCAGTTCAGGAATATCTTAATAACAATCCCATTTCGACGTTCTCTGAATTCGGGATTCTTTAACTTCCATTCCGGGATTTAGTGATTGTCATTTCTGAATTCGCATTTCAGGAATATATGATTCTCATTTTTTGATTTCATTTTCAGGACTATCTGAATCAGATTTCGGGATTCTCTGAATACAATTCTGAATTTACAAATCCCATATTGGCATTCTCTGAATGCGATTACGGGATTTTCTGAGGTCCATTTCGGGATTCTTTTAATCTATCTGAAAGCTCTAAGCCCCATTTTGGTATTCTCTAAGTTTAATTTCAAAATTATTATTTCAGGAATTCAATTCCCATTTTAAGATTCCCTGAATTCCATTCCGGGATGTTATTAATTCGATTTTGTAATCCTTTGACATCATTTAGAGATTCCTGATTCTAAATCCTATTCCGGATTCAAAGTGCCATAATGGCATTCTCTGAATTCCATTACGGGATTCTATGAATCCCACATTTCTGAAGTCTCTGAATCCAAATTTCTAGAATATTTGATTCTCGTATTTCTAGAGTCACTGAATTCGCTATTTCTTGCGTCTCTGAATCCCCATTTCAGGAGTCTCTGTATCTCTAACTTCTGAAGTCTCTGAATTCCCCATTTCTGGAGTCTCTGAACCACCCATTTCGGGAGCCTCTGAAAGCTCCATTTCTGTAGTCTCTGAGTCCCCCATTTCTGAAGTCTCTGAATCCCTCATTTCTTATGGCTCTGAATCCCCATTTCGGGAGTCTCAGAATTCCCCATATCTACACACTTAATCTAGCTCGGTAAAATCTCCAACAGCCGATTACCTCGGCATTTACTTTTGCTGACATCTCTGAAAAATATCTGTTTGTTAGCTGATATCTCAGCAAAATGTTATTTGTTAGCTGTGTCTCGGCAATTGTTTCACTGAATCTCAGCAAATTAAATTGCAGAACTGCTCGGCTGTTGGAATCTCGGCGAAAATATTTAAGTGTATAGAGTCGCTGAATCGCCAATTTCTGGAGTCTTTGAATCCTGCATTTCTGGACTCTCCGAATGCCACATTTCTGGAGTCTCTGAATCCCCATTTCGTGAGTCTCTGAATCCCCCACTACAGAAGTCTCTGGATACCCCATTTCTTACGTCTCTGAATCCCCATTTCTGGAGTCTCTGGATTCTCCATTTCTGGAGTCTCCGAAACCCGCATTTTTGGAGTCTCTGAATCCCCCATTCTTCGAGTCTCCGAATCCCACATGTTGGGAGTATCTGAATCCCTAATTTCTGGAGGCTCTGAATCTCACATTTTTGTAGTCTACGAATCCCACATTTTCGGACTCTCTGAATACCCCATTTCTGGAACCTCTGAATCTCCATTTCAGAAATCCCTGAATCCACCACATCTGAAGTCTCTGAATCCCCCATTTCTGGAGTCTTTGACTATCCCACTTCTGAAGTCTCTGTATCCCCTATTTTGGACTCTCTGAATCTCCCATTTCGGGAGTCTCTGAATCCCCCATTTTTGGAGTCTGCGAACCCCCCATTTCAGGAGTCTCTGAATCCTAAATTTCTGGTGTCTCTGAATCTCCCATTTCTGAAGTCTCTGGATCTCCCATTTCTGGAGTCTCTGAATCCCTCATTTTTGGATGCTCTGGAGTTTTTGAAACCCCTATTTCTGAAGTTTCTGAATCCCCCTTTTCGGAGTCTTCGAATCCCACATGTTGGGAGTATCTGAATCCCCAATTTATGGAGTCTCTGAATCCCCTATTTCTGGAGTCTCCAAATCTCCCATTTCAGGAGTTTCTGAATCCTAAATTTCTGGAGTCTCTGAATCCCTCATTTCTGGATGCTCTGAATTCCCCATTTCTGGAGTCTCTTAACTCCCCCATGTCTGGATTATCTGAATCTACTATTTCTGAATCTATCAATCCCTCATTCCTGGATGCTCTGAATTCCGCATTTCTGGAGTCTCTGAATCCACCATTTCTGGGGTCTCCGAATACCTCATTTATGGAGTCTCTGAATCCCCCATTTTTTGAGTCTCCGAATCCCATATATTGAGAGTATCTGAATCCCTAATTTCTGGAGGCTCCGAATCTCCCATTTTTTTAGTCTACGAATCCCACATTTTCGGACTCTCTGAATACTCCATTTCTGGAACCTCTGATTCCCCATTTCGGAAATCTCTGAATCCCCCATTTCTGGAGTCTTTGACTATCCCACTTCTGAAGTCTCTGAATCCTCCATTTTTTAATTCTCTGAATCTCCCATTTATGGAGTCTCTGGATCCCCCATTTCTGGAGTCTGCGAACCCCCCATTTCAGGAGTCTCTGAATCCTAAATTTCTGGTGTCTCTGAATCTCCCATTTCTGGAGTCTCTGAATCTCCCATTTCTGAAGTCTCTGAATCCCTCATTTTTGGATGCTCTGGAGTCTCTGAAACCCCCATTTCTGAAGTTTCTGAATCCCCCATTTTCGGAGTCTTCGAATCCCACATGTTGGGAGTATCTGAATCCCCAATTTATGGAGTCTCTGAATCCCCTATTTCTGGAGTCTCCAAACCTCCCATTTTAGGAGTTTCTGAATCCTAAATTTCTGGAGTCTCCGAATCTCCCATTTCTGCAGTCTCTGAATCCCTCATTTCTGGATGCACTGAATTCCCCATTTCTGGAGTCTCTTAATTCCCCCATTTATGGAGTCCCCCATGTCTGGATTATCTGAATCTACTATTTCTTAATCTATGAATCCCACATTCCTGGATGCTCTGAATTCCGCATTTCTAGAGTCTCTGAATCCACCATTTCTGGGGTCTCCGAATACCTCATTTCTGAAGTTTTTGAATCCACTATTTCTGGAGTCTCCGAAACCCCGTTTTTCTGGAGTCTCTGAATCCCATCTCACTTCTAGCTTGACAATAAAATTTCTGCTTACGTAATTATTGAATGGCCCCCTAATCCCATGGTTGGCTTCTGGGAACCTCGGTATGCAAAGACCAATAAAGAGTTTGGGGTTATATCCTTCATTATGGTCTACCAGTCATTCTATGTTTTGCAAACCCCTTTGAAACCAATTTTATTATGTTTTGCAGATCGCCGGCAGCGTGTTTTCGACCGGTGATGTCTACTTTGTACCTGCTTTTACCGGCCTATTTGCGCCCTACTGGAGGAAAGACGCTCGAGGGTAAGTACCGTTATGCTCCATCGCAACCTCATTACCAATGTTCATGCTCTTGTTTACAAACTCCGAAAATGACATCGGTGACCCTAAACGTAATTTGATGTATAAATATGTAACAAGAACAACAGCAAGCGGAAATTGATCAAGTTCGACCATTACAACGACCGGTGACGAAGTAGGCTGCTGCTGTCTCTTGGGCTTATCAAAATTTCAAATTCCAAAGTACACATGCTCTGAACCTCGGCACCGGGTCAGGAGTGAATTTTCAAATAGCCGTATCTGCTTTTGTAAACATAGATTCAAACATCAATTTGTTGAAACTCTTCACTCGTCCACGCAATTTAATCCCACCAACAGGTAGGGTAAATTTTGAATCTTTGTTTTCAAGAACAGATAGTTATAGGCGTATACGGCTGTTTGAAAATTCACTCTAGCAGTCATGTGTGTAATATAGATGAACACACCAATTTAGCTTGATGGATTTTTTTTATATTTATGGATGAAAGCAAACTCGTCAAACAGGCTGTTAGGAGGGAAAATTGTCAGTTTTACAACTGGTTTGATAAGCACACACTCAATTAAGAGAATTTTACGATGTGATACCTATTTAGCGGTATACATTTTGTCATTATTACCCAGATAAAGAACCAAATCTACTACCAAACGACTCAAAGTGCCGCGCCAACTTGGATGAGAGGTGACTTGCGCAAAACGAAAACGGTTTGCAATTTTCGCTGCAAAACTTACGTCATTTCGAGCATGATAACCACCAGCCTCCCATTTCGAGCAACTGAGAACTGAATATTGCAACTCATTATTGGTGGATGACGTCCGAAAGAGCTTCCACCTATTCTTCGGTGCACACAGTGTAAATATTTTTTTTACTAAGCGCAGGTAATCATGAAGCAGTTGGTCTTTTTTTCATCCACGTTGTTTTCGAAGATCAAATGTCATGGTTACTTGAGATTTTTAAAATTATGTAAATATTTACATCTTGTGCACCGAAGAATAGGGGCGATTCAGGTTTTTCGATCGTTTACCCCCATTCCTCCCATTCCCCTGTGTCACGCTTTTTTTCATACATATTATACGTACTGTCACAAATTCTAGGACCTCATCCGCCTCCTCCCCCCTCTACAGTGGACGTTATATTTGAATCCTAAATATAGGAATATTCCACATCGCTGCTGATTTTGAACTTTGTCCATAACGCAGAGTTGTATTTTGTACTCCACACCCGAATCTTGTTTATATTTTTGAACACTGATAGCGGTGGCCACATGGAGGCTGGTTGAGGCGCTGCTTGGGGCCAACCAGCCGTTCAGGCTACAACAGTTTGGTGAGCTGTGATTTAATCTGTTTCTCGCGCTCGCATCACATTATTTCGTAGACGATGCTGGTGGTTATTTGCACATGTAAAGCATTTAACTTTTGTTTTTTCCCCCGAACTGGCTAAACCGGACCGGGTGGATTTGAATTCCTCCAGTCGCTGATTGCAGTTGTTCGGGAGATTTGTACGGTGACAGACGGTGTTTGCGAAAGTGTAAAACAAGATTGAAAGTGTATCAATTTGTTGAGTCGCTTGAAATTTCATTGATCCAAGTCATTTGGGGACGAGTAAGTGATTGTAAGTATTAGTTGCTTATCACATCCAGGTTAAAGGCTGTTTTACAGTTTGGAAAACTCACGGAATTTCGATTAAATCATTGTAATTGTCCCTTGTCCATGACCCTTTCCTTATCGGCAACACACACTCAAAAAATTCCACACGTTTGATCGAAGTGTTTAAACACTTGATTTTTTAAATGCTCAATCACACTTACTCACCTTGGTTCAATGTGTTATACACGTTAATTTATAGTGTTTCAAACTTTGAAATGTTGAAAATCTTTCACTATCTATTCAAGTGTATTGCACATTGAATCACACTACTGTTCAAAACAGATGGATTTAAAGTGTTTTGCAATTTCAAAGCGAATTGCTTGCTCAGAAAGGTAAACATCGAAAACAAGACTTGTGACTTTATCCTATCAACCCGCCTCATATATGAGAACAACCGTGGCACAGTGAGATCGAACGAAGACTCCGGCAGCAGCACACCCCAACAGTCCATGATCGAATCCCAAATCAGACCCATTAAAAAGATATGTGAAAGCTCTGGCCTTTAGCAGTTTTGTTTATATATTTGTCGATTCATTTTTAGAGTCGGTAAAGTAGAAGTCGATAAAGTAGAATATTGTAGAATATTGAACTATGATGTGCAAAGCTATTGACATTGTGTTCAGGCGTGATTCATAACATAAGATTCACACATGAAATGGATGTGTTTTACAATAAGTACAGAATTAAGTGTGACACACATGAGGATGACGTGTTGAATTTTTTGAGTGTAGTGACGTTTAACGTACACCGAAAAAAGTTTTCATATAGTTTCCATTGGGAACGCACATGATATTTTTCCATTAACAAAATTAGTGATTTTTATCTGAAAATCACATAACATTCATATGATCACATGAATTCTATGTGATAAATCACATAAATTTCATTGGACACATAAGCTTCATGTGATTTTGTAGTGCGATTCCCAATTATGAGATCACATGAAGGTTATGTGAAATTCTAATGGATATTTTCCATTGGAAATGTGATTTATTTTTTGAGTGTACGCACACTAGCGGATACATTGCCGTGTAAAGTTGTTTATTATTTTCCTCTGACTAACCTGAAAAATGTATGAAGTTAGATCTGTTAAAATGAGTTTGACAGCTATTTGTTATGTATTTTCCTCGCTTCCTAATCGCTCTAATCCGTTGCGTTCGTGGTTTGCTATCTTCAATAGACTACACAGAGAAAAATAATTACCCTAAATTTAAGTTCTTTTTACTTAATTTTGGGTAGTTTTGAGTTTGGCATCCCACTATCACTTTTCGTTGTTGTCAAAAACAGAACGAGAGATTCGATTTTCTCATGACTATCGTTCAATAAGCTACTAGTCAGTATATGAGATATTCTCAAATTTTAGTCAATTGAACTTAATTTTGGGTAGAAAATACTCACGAGTAAGTAATTATTCTTGCCGTAGACAAATGTAAACTACTATAAGCGGTTTACTGAAAACTAGCTTATTGGACGGAACATGGGAGATGAGTGAAAAGAACTTAATTTTGGGTAATTTTTCGGTTCCGTGTACATACTTACAACAAGCTATAGCTATATACTACACGGAGATGAAAAACTACCCAAAATTAAGTACTTTTCCCTCAATTCCGGGGTTCAGCCCAATAACCCAAATTTGAGTAAATCGCATATATTACCTACTATTAAGTATATTCTACCCAAAATTAAGTTCAATACACGTAAATTTGAGAATATGCAATTTAATCAAAAGTAACTTATTGGGCTGAACTATACACGGAGAAAAAATACTACCCAAAATTTGAGTTCTTTTAACTTAATATTGAGTTCAGCCTCTCACTTGCACTCTTTATTGTTGTCAAAAATGGAACGAGAGATTCCACCCAACGATATAGTTCAGCCCAATAAATTGCATATTCTCAAATTTACGTGAATTAAACTTAATTTTGGGTAGAATATACTTAAGAGTAGGTATTTTTTTTTTGCTGGTGTTAAATGGAAACTACTATATGTGATTTACTCAAATTTGGGTTATTGGGCTGAACCCCGGAATTGAGGGAAAAGTACTTAATTTTGGATAGTTTTTCGTCTCCGTGTATCGTTGGGTCGAATCTCTCGTTCCTTTTTTGGCAACAATAACGAGTGCAAGTGAGCGGCCAAACTCAATATTAAGTAAAAAGAACTCAAATTTTGGGTAGTATTTTTTCTCCGTGTATAGTTTCGGTGGCTTCATAGAAACAAAATCCATTGGCAAAAATACTATATTGAATTAAATACTCCCACCAATAGATTTTTGCAGAAACGAAATTCATTTATTTTTACTATTTTTCTATCAAAACTACTTGAGTAAGCATAGTAGTTTTGACAGAATGGTAGTGAATTTGATTATATTTACTATACTGAAATCATGGTAGATTTAACGGTATTAAGCGTAGTTATATGTTGGTTATACTGAAAATAAGTGTTTTCTGCAAAATAGTATTCCTAACTAGGGTCTTTGTTTCAGTGTAGTCGGCTGACTTGGAATATTCCTGTGAACGATCTTCCAACCAATGACGTTCTTCGTTCGTACATGACTGCGTCCTGCTGCGGTCTTCTGGATGATTTCAGCATCCAAATAAATTCCATAGTGAACCGAAACTCTTGGCTACTTCAGAGCACATTTGTGTTAAAACTTGGCCATTTTGAATGTTGCATTTTTTTTCAAAATGGTGTATTTGACATTTGATCTTAGCACGAAAACGTCACGTCTAATCGGAATGACGCCTGAGTCGAAGTTGTACAAGGCGAATGAGAACGATTAGTTTGCGAAAATTGTCGTCGTCGCCGGTGCTGGGTTTACCGAGGCGTGATATGAAGGGTTCGGTGGCCTTAGAGCGTCCGTTTTTGCTTACGGGGCAGAACATCATGAGTCTAATCACAAACCCATCCACATTAAAGATTCGTCAATCGTTTTATTTGTTAATATGACTACATGGTAATAACAGCAACTCGATGATTAAAAAGGAGCTCGTTTGCCTAGTGGCAAACGTTTTTGCTTATTGAGCAGCAGACCGTGGGTTCAATCTCATGCTCCTTCGCGTTATATGATCGTTAGGACATCAATTCAGCTTATCGTTTACCAAAACGAACCCTGCTGCAAACTCAAACCTCTTACCCAACATCCCAGTGATTCCTCGTGGAAGTGCAGAGAATTTCTCGACTTCCATCAATGCGAGTGTCACGTCAACACATTCCTATTCCGCTTTTGACATGCGTTCGGGCGCGGCCGGAGCTGGTATTGCTTAGTTTGAGACCAGTTTTTACACATTGAGGATGAATTCTAGTCCCAAGAATCGTCTTTTGGTTCTCTGTGTAATTACAGCTGATCTAACAGTAACAGAGTAACAACCGTGGGCGGTCATTCATGCTCATTCCTATGGGAAAACCAAACTTTTTGTTAATTGTCTTCCAGACTTTTTCCATATTTATACTGTTAACAAGTTCTATCGCTTTTCTTATGGAAATTTTTCTCAGCTACAACTTTGCAGAAGATCGTTTTTCAGCCAAACGTCTAATTAAATAGTTATTAATTGTTTAAGAGATTGATATCCTCAAGGCATAATTAAGCAGCTGTTTTGTGGGCAACACTGTATTCTGCAGTGTGACATAGTAGCCATGATTGTTGTCCTCTATTGTCTATTCTACGCGCCAGAAACACCAATGTTGCCTGCTGAGCAGTGGATTGAGCATAATCATAAGACATCAGCCACTGATTTCTCGCGAATAAAAGCTCAATCTAAAAAACTAATCACACTATGAGGTAGAGGGATGATTCTTCTATCATTTGGTACAGTTTGTTTATGAGATTAAAATTTAATTCAAGGGAAATCGGCAATTGACGTCTTTGATTACAAAAGCAATTACGCCCAAATCCGGTGTGATTTGAGATTTGGACGTAATTGCTATTGTAAATAAACACATCAATTGCCGATTTCTCGTGAATAAAAGCTCAATTTCATAAACAAACGATACCAAATGATAGAGGAATCATCCCTCTACCTCATAGTGTGATTAGTTTTTTAGATTGAGCTTTTATTCGCGAGAAATCAGAACGTGTTTGTTTACAAATGCAATTACGCCTAAATCTTAAATCATTCCGGAAATCTCAAATCACTCCGGATGTACGGCTTGCTGAATTTGCCGCACCCACAGATCGCCTGCCACACTAACTATTTCTTGGCAAATTTGTCGACCTTCTTCTTCTGGAACTTCTCCGGAACATCCAGGCGGGACTTGGCAACGAAAAACTCCAGGTCAGGGATCTGCTTGGTGTCCGCTTTAATGTACGTCTCGTCGTCCATTACGATGCATTTCTTCTGCAACAACCCGTCGCGGTGCAGCTTCCTGACGCGTGATTTTGCCAGCGTATTCTGTTTATCGGTTCGGTTAGGCGCCTTCCTTACCTTAAAGACATGAAGTTCGGCCCGCTTCATTGTCTGCTGGACGAACCAGACGGAAGAATTGACCTTCTTGGCCACGTCTCGAATCGAAAGGTTCGGATTGCGCTTGAAGTAATCCCTCACCTTCGTTGCGTTCACGGGGTCGGTCGTCATCGCTTTTCTACCGCTGTCAGCTCGCCGCTGGGTCGTTTGGGTCTCCTTGAACGATTTACCACACGGGACACGGTCGAATTGTCGATTCCAAACTGTTTCGTAATCCACCTGTGGGACTGGCCTGGATTTTCCACGACCGCTCCCATAATTGTTTGTCGAAGCACTTGTTGCTTGGAAGGCATCTCGATAACCACTTGACAGATTGTGACGAGATTTAGCACATGTAAACGTTACACTCTAAACTAATTTTGCAATACGCAAAAGAAACTGTAGCATTTATTTTTTTGAGTACAATCTTTATTGGAAAAATATTTGAATTGAAATCGACGAACTAGGTATTTGAACGAATCCTAAATTTAGCAAAATCAATTGTCATGTGGAATAAATACTTCAATACCTGTTTGATCAAAGCACATTTGTTACAATTAGATTCAATCATCCCAACAGCAAGCAGAGGCAAGAAAACTACAACGATCATTTCGAGCGATTTTGTACAATGCAAAAACAGCCAAATTTGAATTGAAACCACTACGTTGTGAGCTTAGAATAAGAAATAAAAAGTATAGAGCATTGTTCTCCTATCAAAAGGTATGCAATGCATTTATTAAAAATTAATTTTGGTTAATTTTTAAAATCGATAATAGGTTCGAATAACTCATTTTGCAGAATCACATAGTACTTAAACGCACCTTAGTCATCTGCTTCTTCTACAAATCTAGCCTTATCAGTTCAATGGCAAGCAGAGTCAGTAACATTCCATCCCTGCTAAAGACAATCTCTAAAAGCGACGTAAATCCCACCCATCATCAACGACACGAATCACACTCCTTGTTTATTGCGCGCCTTACGCGGCAAACAATTTCCCCCCACCGGCATCGTGATTCATTACATCAACCGGCTCTGATAAAACTAAATTGGTACTATACTAACACTCATTTATACTTTTATGTGATAATCTTTCTATACCCTCCACGTCGGCGGTTGTCGGTCATGCAAGACGCGACCGACGCAAATTGCAATAATGTTATAAACCTGTTTAGTTCCTCGAACCATCCCACGATCGCGCGAGCGAACACTGCAATGTCAAGTGCAATGCCAATCATCCACAGATAAATGGACCTAGGTTGTGCTTATAGTTGTAAAATCACTTGTTTTCATACATACAAACAAACGTCTCCCTTCCTCATCTCTGAGATTAGCGTCTCGTCTCGTACATTTCTAATTTGATGTACCTACATTCCTGCAAGCGCGACGCACGTTGACTTGATTGATGTTCAAGCTTGGACGTGACTCGACTAAACCGAAACTAATTACTTTTCATATTTTTTCTCAACAGAATCATTTGCGGCCTCACGAGCTTCACCACCAAGCACCACATCATCCGGGCCGCATTGGAAGCCGTCTGCTTCCAGACACGTGATATTATCGAAGCTATGAAGAAAGACTGTGGGTAAGTACGCCCCCTCCAATCAACTGCCATAAAGATCGAAATTACCACGGGTTTTATTAATTTATGCCTTATTTTTTTACTTCACAGTATTAACCTAACCAGGCTGCACGCGGACGGTATCATGACCAATAACACACTTCTGATGCAGCTGCAGGCCGATCTGGTCGGGATCCCAGTGTGTAAGTATCGCAGTTCAACCCTGTCTCGAGCTCGCTGGCAATCACACCACCATAATCGATAGCTAATTTTAATTATTGCTATTTGGCTTTCTTTGCATAATCACACCATCACCACCACCTGTAGTAAAAACGGAAGTCAGTGATCCGGCCACACTCGGTACGGCGATGGCAGCGGCGCAGGCCAAGGGAATCGATCTCTACAACATGGAACCTGATAACCGGTAAGTGTTGGGGGAATCTTTCGGGCAGTTCTACTAAGGTGATCGAATCGTGTTTAGTTAAGGGAAAATATCTAACTAACCAGATGCAGGCAAAAATTGGCTTATACATCTGCTAGTCTGCAGCTAAAATTGTTTGTTGGGTAGTTTTTTGTGTTTTCCGTCTGCATTTTGGATCGTGTGATCTCAAATTGCATTCCAATTTAGTGCAACTTGTTTCAGAAAATCAGAAAGAAATCAAAGAAAAATATGTTGGGGTGGTATTGACATTTCTGTACTGCCTATAATTGCATATCATTCCCAGATGAAAAAAGTAGGCATTGATAAAATGTCAGTCAAAGCAGGATTCCCATGTAAATAAGTGAAAAATCATAGATAATTTATTGATATTTTTTCAAGTTTAAACTAGTTGCATTGAAGCTTGCATATTTTGTTACATCAGCGAAAAATATGGTAACTCAAAAAGCAGAACCGTAGCTTGACCTCTGCACGATTGAATTTCAGGATGGGACTGATTATAGAGGGTCTTGTATAATAGAGGAGCGGATTCAAAACAAACTGCCTTGGCAACCTATGCCTAGGTAATTTCTAGCAACACTGCTAATGCAATCAAGATAGGCGCTGCTCAATTGGTTCTGGCTTTGACAGTTCATTTGGCTCAAAACCAGCCAATCCGCTCCTCTTTTATACTAGACCCTCTCTAGGACTAATATGCTATTACTTAACTGACACGATGTTGCTCTCATTTTTTTTTGTTATCAAAGTCCGTAGTTTTATCACACAATATGAAAGTAGATGCCAATTGATCAATTTAGATGGTCCTTTACTATGGTGATTTATGAAAAGATCTGTGTGGCAATTTGAGATGTATCATATTACAACATCGTAACACGACAGGAGTTCCCAGAGTTTAAACGGAATTCGCACTTATCCTGACTTTCACGAACATTTTTGAAGTTTTCAAAACTTCTCCAAAGCTCCTAAAATAGGAGTTCCTTGAGCTTCTTCGAAGGTCTCAGAACTTATTCAAATTTCCCACAACACTTTATCGGAGTTTACAGAACTTCTCCGCTGCGCTTACAGGTTTCCAAAAACTTTTCCGATATTCCTACGTTCTCAAAAGTTTTCCGAGAAGTTCTCCAATGCTATCGAAAGTACGGAGAAGTTCTGCAGAGCATTACTATTTAAAAAAAAAATACCGCAACGCAGAAGTTCTGAAACCTCCGGAGAAGTTGTAAAAATTTCTGAGAAGTTTGGGAAACTTCGGAGAAGTCCTAGGAGTTTTTTGAAGTTCACATAAATTCTCTGAAGTTCATAGAGGTTTACTGAAGTAATTTCGCAGAAAATTTGCTGAAGTAAGTTCGTAGAACTTCCCTGAAGTAAGTCAGTTGAACTTCCCTGAAATTTGCAAAACTTCTCTGAAGTTTGTTTGTAAAACTTCTATGACTTAATTTTGTAGAACTTCCCGGACGTAAGTCTGCAGAAATTCCCTCAAGTAAGTCCTGTGTTCCTGAAATTCATATAACTTTCCTGAAGTAAATTCGTAAAACTTTCTTGAACCAAATTCATAAAACTTTCTTGAAGTAAGTTCTAAGGGCTTTCCTGAAATTTATAGAATTTGCTCCAGTTCAAAGCACTTTTCTGAAATTTGTGGGACTTCACTGAAGCTCTTAGAACTTTCCTGAATTGTAGAACTGTAGAAGTAAGTTCGTAGATCTTCACTGTAACAAGTTAGTAAAACTTCCCTGAAGTAAGTTCGCTGAACTTTCCTGAAGTTAATCAGTAGAACTTTCCATGACGTAAGTTCGTAGAACTTCCCTGAAGTAAGTCCATAGAGCTTACCTGTAGTTCGTAGAACTTCGCTGAAGTAAGTTCGTAAAACTTCCCTGGCTAACTTCAAGGAAATTCTACGAACTTACTTCGGGCAAGTTCTACAGACTTACTTCGAGGAAGTTCTAAAAAATTACACCAGGGAAGTTTTAAGAAATTACTTCAGTCTGTAGAACTTGCCAGAAGTAAATTTGTACAACTTCCTTGAAGCAATTTTTCAGAACTTCCCTGAAATAATTTCTTAAAACTTTCCTGAGGTAAGTCCAGGAGTTCGTAGAACTTCCCTGAAATTAGTAAAACAATCCTGAAGCAAATTCATAAAACTTTCCTGAAGTAAGTTTGTAAGGCTTTCCGGAAGTTTATAGCATTTTTATCCAGTTCAAAGCACTTTTCTGAAGTTTTTGGGACTTCACTGAAGCTCTTAGAACTTCCCTGAATTGTAGAACTCTCCTAAAGTAAGTTCGTAGATCTTCCCTGTAACAAGTTAGAAGAACTTCCCTGAAGTAAGTTCGCTGAACTTTCCTGAAGTAAGTCTGTAGAGCTTTTCATGATGACGTAAGTTCGTAGAACTTCCATGAAGTAATCCAAGTAATCGTTCAATTTCTCTGAACTATGTTCATAGAACTTCCCTGAAATAAGTTCGTAGAACCTCCCTGAAGTAAGTCCATAGAGCTTACCTGTAGTTCGTAGAACTTCCCTAAAGTAAGTTCGTAATACTTCGCTGGCTTACTTCAAGGAAGTTCTACGAACTTACTTCGGGCAAGTTCTACAGACTTACTTCAAGGATGTTCTAAAAAATTACGCCAGGGAAGTTTTAAGTACTTACTTCAGTCAGTACAACTTGCCAGAAGTAAGTTTGTACAGCTTGCTTGAAGTAATTTTACAGAACTTTACTGAAGTAATTTCTTCGTACTTTCCTGAGGTAAGTCCAGTAGTTCGTAGAACTTCCCTGAAATTCGTAAAACAATCCTGAAGCAAATTCGTGAAACTTTACTGAGCTAAATTCGTAAAACTTTCCTGAAGTAAGTTCGTAGACTTTTCTGAAGTTTATAGTATTTTTCTGCAGTTCAAAGCACATTTCTGAAAATTTAGGGACTTCACTGAAGTTCAAAGAACTTCCCTGAATTGTAGAACTCATCTGCAATAAGTTAGTAGAACTTTTCTGAAGTAAGTTCGTTGAAATTCTCTCAAATAAGTAAGTAAAACTTCCCTGAAATAAGTTTGTAGAACTTTCCTGAAGTTAATCTGTAGAGCTTTCCATGACGTAAGTTCGTAGAACTTCCATGAAGTAAGCGTATAAGTTCCCTGAAATAAGCTCGTAGAACTTCCCTGAAGTAAGTACGTAAAACTCCAGGCAAGTTCTATAGACTTAAGGTCGGCGCACAATAGATACGTTTTCGGGTTTTTTGACAGATAATGCATGGGCTAACTGTCAAAAAACCTGAAAACGTATCTATTGTGCGCCGGCCTTTACTTTAGGAAAGTTCTATAAAATTAGGCCCGGGAAGTTTTACGAACTTACTTCAGGGAAGTTCTACGAACTACAGTGTAGAACTTCCCTGAAGTAAGTAGTCTATAGAACTTGCCCGAAGTAAGTTCGTAGAACTTTCCTGAAGTAAGTTCGTAGGACTTTCCTGAAGTTTAAAGCATTTTTCTGCAGTTCAAAGCACATTTCTGAAAATTTAGGGACTTCACTGAAGTTCAAAGAACTTCCCTGAATTATAGAACTCATCTGAAATAAGTTAGTAGAACTTCCCTCAAGTAAGTTAGTAGAACTTTCCTGAAGTAAGTTTGTTGAAATTTCTCAAATAAGTAAGTAAAACTTCCCTGAAATAAGTTCGTAGAACTTTCCTCAAGTTAATCTGTAGAGCTTTCCATGACGTAAGTTCGTAGAACTTGCCTGAAATTCGCAGAATTGTTTTCAAGTAAGTTCGTAGAACTTCCCTAAAATAAGTTCGTAGAGCTTGCCTGAAGAAAGCTCGTAGAATTTCCCTGAAGTAAGTTCGTAGAACTTAACTGTAGTGCATAGAACTTCCCTGAAGTAAGTTCGTAAAACTTCTCGCCAGGAAAGTTCTACGAACTTACTCCAGGCAAGTTCTATAGACTTACTTTAGGGAAGTTCTACAAAATTAGGCCCAGGAAGGTTTACGAACTTACTTCAGGGAAGTTCTACGAGCTACATTGTAGAACTTCCCTGAAGTAAGTCTGTAGAACTAGCCCGAAGTAAGTTCGTAGAACTTCCTTGAAGTAATTTCTTAGAACTTCTCGGCAGTAAGTCCAGTAGTTCGTAGAACTTTCCTGAAATTCGTAAAATAATCCTGAAGCAAATTCGTGAAACTTTACTGAGCTAAATTCGTAAAACTTTCCTGTAGTAAGTTCGTAGGGCTTTCCTGAAGTTTATAGCATTTTTCTGCAGTTCAAATCACATTTCTTGAAATTTTGGGACTTCATTGAAGTTCATAGAACTTCCCTGAATTGTAGAACTCATCTGAAGTAAGTTCGTAGATCTTCCCTGAAATATGTTAGTAGAACTTTCCTGAAGTTAATCTGTAGAGCTTTCCATGACTTAAGTTCATAGAACTTCCATGAAGTAAGCGTATAAGTTCCCTGAAATTCGTAGAATTTTTCTGAAGTAAGTTCGTAGAACTTTCCTAAAATAAGTTCGTACGGCAAATTCTATAGACTTACTTTAGGGAAGTTCTACAAAATTAGGCACGGGAAGTTTTGCGAACTTACTTCAGGGAAGTTCTACGAACTACACTGTAGAACTTCCCTGAAGTAAGTCTGTAGAACTTGCCAGAAGTAAGTTCGTAGAACTTCCTTGAAGTAATTTTACAGAACTTCCCTGAAGTGATTTTTTAGAACTTTTCCGAAGTAAGTCCAGTAGTTCGTAGAACTTTCCTGAAATTGGCAAATTCGTGAAACAAATGAATGCAAAATCGTAAAACTTTCCTGAAGTGAATACGTAAAACTTTCATGAAATTCATAGGAGATTAGTAAAGTTTGTAGCTCTTCCTTGAAGTTTGTAGCGCTTTTCTGATTTTTTTTTTGACTTCACTAAAATTCATAGAACTTCCCTGAAATGTAGAGCTCTTCTGAAGCATGTTTTTTTTTAATTCTTTATTAAGGAGATTTTTAGCCTATGGCTAGTTCATCTCCGATCTGAAGCAGGTTCGTAGAAATTTTCTCTAGTAAGAAAGTAAAACTTCCCTGAAGTAAGTTCGTAGAACTTTCATGAAGCTCCTCCCCTGATCCTATTCTTCGACAATGTACCTCTCTAACCTCGGGTAAGCAGCGAGTATTCAGCCCAACTCCTACTAGACATAGAATTAAGTGAATGTTGTTACAAACAAATAACAATGAACTATCGGCTCCGTAAAGCTAACGCGATTGAGCCTTCCAAATAAACGAACTAGTTAAAAAAAACTTTCATGAAGTAAATTCGTAGAACTTTTCTGAAGTACGTTCGTAAAACTTGCGTGAAGTAAAATCGTAGAAATCGCCTGAAGTTCAATTAAGTAAGTCCGTAGAACTTAGCTGAAGTAATTCCATAGAACTTCCCTAGTCCTGTACTGCCGCAATTCGCATGACAGTCCTATGTAGATAGGAAATCCATAGGACATGGAACTATTATGCGAATAGCGGCAGTGTAGTTCGTAGAACTTCCCTGAAATTCATAAAACTTTCCTGATCTAAATAGGTAAAACTGTTCTGAGGTAAGTTCGTAGCACTTCCCTGAAGAGCATTTCCAGGCCAAACAGCAAACAAATAAATAATTGTTGACTTGATCTTATCCGATTGGCATAAAACTTTGCATAATTTTTTATTATCATTCAATTTTTTTGCAAAAAATCGGCCATTTTTTGATCTTGGATAGGTTTTCAAAATGGCGTCATTGATTTTTTTAATAAATTGTAACACGAAACAGTCACTTCTGATCTAAAACGTCTGAGACAAAGTTGTTGAGAAAAGTAATGTTTTTCTGGGAAAACATATACACAGCAATTATTGTTTTAATTTTGAGTGAGCGAGAGGCGAACCAGCCTTTAGGCTGAAAAACTCTTAAATAAATAAAAAAAAAATGAGTAAAAATTCCAAAAAAGTGTTGAAAATTGAAATTTTTCAAAAAGTATATCTTTAACTTTATAATTTCATTTGACCTTTCGTTCATTCGACCTTTTGCCCCTCGACCTCTTGTCTTTCGACCTTTTGTCCTAGAACCATTAGAACTTACTTGAATTAAGTTCATAGAACTTTCCTGATGTAGGTTCATTAAAATTGCCTTCGAAGATCTTCCCTTAAGTTCCTAGGTCTTCCCTTAGGTTCATAGTACTTCCTTATTCATTCCCTTAAATTCATAGGTCTTTAATAGCCCCTGAAGTTCGTAGCACTCCGCTGGAATTAGTAGCACTTGTCTCAAGATTGTAGCATTACCCTGAAGTTCGTAAGACTTCACTGAAGTTTATAGAATATTCCTGGTACTCGTAGATCTTCCCTAAAGTTTGCAGAACGTATCTGAAGATTGCAGAACATTTCAAATGTTCGTAAAACTTCCCAGAAGTTCTCATAACTTCCATGAAATCCACAGAATTTCCTGAAACTGCAACTCTACTAAATAGCTTTCGTAAGAACTTACCTTCTTCTTCTTAATAATTATTCGTTTATTTAACGTCGGTTGCTGTCCCGCAATGGACGAACGTCGATTGCCAATTGGTGATTAATCACTGACGGCAATCGAGTACCGGGAAGGCGACTTTAACACCTGGAACCTATCGAACCCATCAATCAACGGCTTTACTTCAAATCCCAACGGCTGGAATTGAACCTATTCTACTTACCTTGTTGCTGGTATACTGCTCCGTTTCTTTCCTACTGTTCGTAAACGGTAGGTTCAATGGTTCGATCTGAAATTGCACAAAACACAAATTAATAAATTAGTCAATCACAATATATTCCACTGTAACGGTTAACCGTCAAAAAAGAAGAACCAACGATGGAAGATTACGAACTGTACCCTATGCACCAATGGACGTGCGCAAGATACTTGAAGATGTTCCTCAAAAAACGTACGCTCATGGAATATTTCCTAATTCCGAGACTAATACAAAGTTGTTTTACATTGATTTGTATTCCAACAACTCTTTTTTTGGGAAATTTTGAACTATTTTGAATTAGCCGGTCATTGAATTTATTTAACGCCCCTTTTTCCTTCACTTTCCAGCGACTACCAGATGCACATCTCCCACGAAACATTCCTGCCAACATCGACGGAGGAGGAGCGTAACGCACGGTACACCAAGTGGAAAATGGCCGTCCAGCGAAGCTTGGGCTGGGCCGTTACCAAGAAGAGTGAAGCCATGACAGGTGGGTTACTTTGTTGCATTTTTCCCTTGACATTTTTCTTCTCCTACCCCGACTACTGTGACTTTGACCTTGACACGGACACGAGACGACCGCCTTCAAATGGACGATCATTTCAGATGATGTTGATGATGATGATTATGATGACAACAACCGCGTCGCAGCAATAGTTCTGACACATGGAAAATTCCACCGTATACCGCGATTACGATAACTACAATACCACAAACCGACACAGACTGTCTAGAACTAAATTGAGCAGAAATACATTTTTTGTCTAAATTACGTTTAAATAAACCACCTGTTTCCCCATAATCCAATCTTCTTTACAGACGAACGCTACTCCCTGCTGGCATCGATTCCGGCCGGTCTGTTCCTGCTGAGCTCCTTCGTGATGCTGGTATTCTCGCAGACCAGTCGACGGTGATAGGTGAAACCAGTGCCATGTACGAGTCTTATTCTAAATCATACTTACAATTAATGCGAGTTAGTTAGTGATGTACTTATAGGTAGGCTACATTTATCTAGACAAGATACAACCAATTGACAGCTCAAATTGTGGGTGCTCAAGTCTCCAGTTAGTTAGATAGTTAGGTAAACTAAATTACAGTAGCTATTAAAAGCGCTGTAGTCAAAAAAGAAAGCGAATAGCAAAACAACCAAAATAGCGAGATGCTTCCAGCGACACTGTTAGAAAAAAAATTGTTGAATTCAGCTATAAACTGTGCAACTTCAAAAGTACCTTTCAATAGTTAACGAAGCTATGCAAGCACTCCATTCCTTCTTAGTCAATCGTGTAGTGAACAGGTTTAATAGCTCCTTATGAACAGTTGTGACAGTTTAGTACTTATACAATTACTATTGGATATCGCTAGGAACAAAACAAAAATATGCAATTTCTTTATGCAAATTGTTAGGATCCCTCCGTTTTACAGAGACGAAATCGATTAAGTTGTTGAAAGTTAAAATGATGATATTTTTAACGTGTCTTTTAACAATGCTTTACTTAGGTTTAGCAGACTTTATGTCAAACTATTAATTTCAAACGTAGACTGTAGGTAAGGCAAACATTCAAGTTACAGTTCTATAGTTATCATTATCTTGTAATGGTTTTATTGTGAAATTAGTGTAGGTAGCATAACGTTTTTTTTTTTAAGTAGTAGACCAACGTGGAAACGACGAGTTTGAAGACTTTTTATATTGTACTTAATGCTACGCTACGAAAGATTTATTATACACTTTATTTTGCAGAAGAATGGCTAGTTTTTTGTTTGAGATCCGAAATACCGAAATTAATTAAAATCTGGAGTATAATCTAAAATATAGGTTCAGAAAAATAACGAATTCCATGCAATTTAAATCTCAGTACTCAATCTCCCTTAGCTCAGTCGGTAAGGGCGTAGCTACAAAGCAAGACCATGCTGGAGGTGGCTGGGTTCAATTCCCGGTCCGGTCTAGGAATTTTTCGGGTTAGAAAATTTCTCGACTTCCCTGGGCATAGAAGTATGATTGGACTTGCCACACAATTATACTAATGCAAAAATGGTACAGGCATTGAAAGCTCTCAATTAATAACTGTGGAAGTGCATCTAAAACACTCAGTTTAGAGCACGCAATAAGCTAATATGCGATATGCAATAAGCTTGAAATGCGAAGAAGAAGAATTTTTCACTTACGGAACTTTTTCTCAACCGAGGGGGCCGATTCAATCTTAGATGCAGGATTTTTTTTGCTTTATTGTTGTGAGATGCACTCGCGCTTAATAGATAGAAACACAATTGATTATGATTTTTAAGATTTCCTGCAAAAAGGTGGAGAGCGATGCGAGTAGAGATGAAAAAAGATTTTTCGTAGATTGATTCGCTAGTGTGAGATTTTTCGACCATTTAAAATCAAGATTTAGATGTGTCGCACCCCTCGTTCTCAACGGAACCACCCTAGGGAACTTCAACAATTATGTTTCTACAAGCGGCTTGAAGTAGAAAGGGTGGGCCAAAATAAATTAAAAAGCGTCTTCAGCATGTCACTCTACACAGTGTACCAAAAACATGTTTGGCACTGCACTGGCACACGCATAGGCACTGTTGGGCACCCTATTCAGTAATTTATGTAAAATTTAAAAACAAACTGGCGATACTGCACTGTTTTTGCGCATGCATGTTTACATTCTGATCATCCGTTTCGTGAAAACAAAATATCCGTGGCAACGGCAGCCAACAGACATGAACCTCCGGTACCGATCAGGTAAAATTAATAAAATTGTATGGTTTAACCTAAATTTATTCAACTCATAATTGCAGAAGACTACTGCATCTGAAGGATATCAATTCAACTAATTATATTTCAATTCTACTTAGTATAAAGTACATTGTTTTGTAACATGATTTTTCTGCAGGATATTGTCATAGAGCTGCTGAGAGATTGACTACTGAATTTGCAGTCCTAGTGCTCCTTGATGTCCCTGGAGTGATTTGATATGCTAATGACTCATTACCGCAGACGGGTCACCTCCTTGAACATAAACCAAATTGACTCCATTTACCACGGATAGAGTATCTTGCAGTCGTTCTTCAAATCGATCCACCGTCCAGCCGGCAATCTCCACCCAGTCGTTCACATAGCGCATTAAAACGATCCGTCATTCGTTGTTGTACGCCTTCATGTCTTGTCGATTTCATACTCGATCGGCAGCCCATGACAGTTCCTAACAATATGGCGCTCTACATATCCACATATTCCTTCTTCCAACGATTCAAAACGTTTTTCCTCTCCGTTCGAGAGCTGATAATCTCCAGCAGCCAGCACAAATCCTCCATCGTAATGCTGTTCATCTCCAATCGATAGTTGGTATTTCTAATTCGTGAATGTTATGCCTTTCGATCACTTGTCGCTTATATTTTCCAGAAAATTAATAATGCACTTTGAATATATGAAAATTTACACCATCACGTCTCAACAGAAAACATCAATCGGCGCGCTGAACCGCTTTCACTTTTTTATACATGAAATGTTTACTCACAAACTACCTATAATTGCTTATTTTAGAATTACTAATATTTTTGGAATCAAAACATTCAATCTGTCAGAAATACCAGGTTGCCAAATAAGCCAAAATATTCACAAACAAACGCAGCCTGTTTTAAGACTGGCACTGTTGGCACTGCCGGCATAGCTGCGGCACACTGAGAAAAAAATGGCTCATAATGAGTGTGTAAAGTGACCACCCCTAGGATATTTCCTGGTTATTTGACCTGATGAATTAACCATTTATTGTAACAAAGAATGAATGCATAATTACTTCATAAAGCCTCCTTCCACAATACTTCCATTACCCAAACACATTTTAGTCATGATTTTTATCTTTTCACTTATAATTTAGGATGCAGATTGCGAATTTTATGAATATTTAGGTAAAATTGATAATGGTAGCGTTTACGTCACTTTGTCATTTCACGACAGTGGGGAGGTCCACCCGCGTCCCACAGAAAAGTTCTCTCTCCACCAGCTGAGATCTCACGAGGACGAGAGATTCTCTCTCCTAACACGCTGAGTGACTCGCTATCAACACGGGATTTTTGTTTGACAGACTTTGTAGCGGTACACGGTCGATGAGATCGCTCAATTTCGTCAAAAGTGGATTTACTCAAAAGTCAGGTGAATTTTTCGGGCAAAAGTCGTGGAAAACCAAGAAACACTTTTCGATTATGAGGAAAATCCATGAACATTTTACTCAGTCTACATACTTAGATTTTTTTTGCCGAGATGACAGCAGCTTAGCATTTTATTTTGCTAGATCTCAGTGAAAAACTTGCGAGATGGTGCCCATCTCGGTAAAAAAAATCTAACTGTGTGTAGGAGTGTACTAATAGACTGAGTGAAAGCCCTATCGATTTTCCTCATATTCGAGAAAATTCAACTCGCTTTCGAGTACATCAACTTATGACGAAATTGAGTTGGTACGATCGACCGTGTAGGTTCAGGAAAAGTCAAAAGAAAAGCGCCTAACCATTCTTCCACTTCTCCCGCTTTTCCGAGAGTTCCCTCCTCCTGGCCATATGTATGTATGCGGCGGTTGGTAAACTGATTGTGCGGTCGCCCATGGTGACTTATTGCGGGAGTGTGAGTGTTGATAACACCTCTTCACAATGCCAAAAGTAAATGTCCCACTGGTTGGCTGCGCTGCTACGGGTGAATGATAACCGAGACTGTTGTCACATGACGGCCACCCGCTCTCAACTCTCACTCAACTCGGCAAGGATCTGCTTGAAGCCTTTTGCCCCAAAATCTACCCTACTGGGGAGTAGTCAGTAATCACACACGGCGGATATGCGGGAGCTCGATTGCCGCTGTATGCGTGCCCGCCTACGTTGTGAGACATGAAAACCAAAAGCAGAAAATTTTCCCCGCAGATTGGTTGCAAAATTCGAACGATTAGGGACATTGCAGCAAGCGCGACACGAGACGGCGGTACGGCAGGTCGTCATCGACAACTTTCATCGCAAATTCGCACTTTTGGTTTTTCTCTGCAGCTTAACGACCTCCGGTAAGAGGTCGCCCCTCAAAAACGGTGCAAATTTTGCACAAAGTGATAAAGAAAAAGTAATAGTTACTACGTCTTCCAATTGGAGCAGCCGTGGAGGCAAACGTGATAATATTATGTTATGCTTGAAAGGTGATTTTACAAGTGCGGGCGTTTGTTTGATTATTAGCTGTGAATAATTTTCATTAATCAAAATATTTAGTGGAAAAGAAGCTTGTTGTCGTTCGAATGAAGCATTGTGTGGCTAAACAAAAGTGAAGCAAGGGAAGTTTTACATTTTGAAAGGAAAATTGAATATTTATAAAGGCAGTAACAAAATGGCAATATCCAGACAACGAAGCGTACCCATCAGGATACCAGCGCAGACGTTCACCTCCGGCAGCCTGTTCTTCATACTCGTCCTTGGACTGATTGTGGACCGTAAGTGTAGTCATTTTTTGTTTTGTTTCAAATGCCTATGAAATGTGAAAAATTTGCAAATTCAATCCTCCCTCGCGAAGTTGTTCATGATAATGAAAAGTAAACAGAATTTATCAATACTCTCACGCATACGGTAAAATGTGTACTTCCTCGTATATCTAGCTGGAGCTAGAATAAGGGCCTAGCAGCTTTTGTAAACAATGACTTCCTTTGATGATTTCTAGATAGTCAAGACTTGCCAATGTAAACCAACATCACCATTATGTTGGTTTGCACGGGCGTATCTGGAATTCATAGAAGTAATTGTTTACACAAGCTGTTAGGCCCTTATATTAGCTCTATCTAGATATAAACGTTGCCACCCACGTTGCTGTACATTCCATTAAAAGGATTAGCTGACGCTTCGAAGATCCCCACGGGAGTGCAGAACATTAGTTGATGCTCTCGATTCAATTTATTAGGTGTCGCAGTCTACTATTTGGAATTGACGGGAAAATTTTAGTGGCTAAGGTACATGAGTTTCCAGAAAGTCCTTTCAAGAATTTTCAAATAAGGAGGAAGCAGTTTGTAAAACATTGCGGATGTTTTTGACAATGTTGAATTGTATTAGGGGAATTTACGTATTCTCGGCAACCTAAGCAGCGACCTTCTTTCTATAGCCTTTTTCTCTAAGGAACGCACACATATGCAGTATTGGTTTGTTTACAATCTTTTGCTGCCAGCTGCTCTAACAATTTCAGTCGAAAGAATTGTCAAAAAATGTTTTGAAACGCTTTTACAAAGCTCCAATCTTCTCTAGTGAGAGCGAGTATTGTCGGCAACCAGTTTTTCTTCGGCAACCGTTCCATTTGAACTGCATGTAAATCTGCTGTTCTATTATCGGCAACTCGAAATCAGCTACAATTTGTAGTGCGTGGGTTGCATTTCAAGAAAACCTTGCTAGATTACTTTTTCTCAGTGGTAAAAATATAGTCAAATTGAAGCTGAAAGCATAAAGAATCGTTTGCATGCATTCAAAGTGTTTTCGTAAGAAAATCCAGTGAAAATAGTGTTTCAATTTGGGTTGCCGAAAATAGTCTGTCATGCCGAAGCCGTCATTCCCCCTACTATACTTTAGTGTGGTGAAAACAATTTTATTGTAACTTGTTTTTCGTAGTGAATGGATTATAGTAAAATTTAAGGCATATAACCCAAGTAGCATTTTAGGTTTCATGATGTGTACTACAAAGAAGCTACAAAGAAACATTCATAAAACCCTGGTCAAAGCAATTTTGCCTTTATTGCTTGCACCCAGGGTTTCGATCAAAATCTGCCTAGGTTGCGCACTCTTGCGAAGGTTTTGAAGGGTATATTTTTTAAATACCTGCAAGATTGATTTACAGCAAAACAGATTGAATTAAGGTCGCATTGAGAACCATTTGAAAACCATATTTAAACTAGCAATTTGGCGTCAATATAAATCTAATTCTTGCCATATTACCATACCTTGCTTGCTACTGAAAAGAGCATTAATCAATCTTAAATAGGATTCAGAAATATCACCCGACCTTGGAAAAACATTTGAACAAATAAAACTACAACAGGATACAATTATTTTGAATTTCCTTATGATCACAAACATATTTACCAAAATTATCATAACAGATCTCATGTAGTGACCTAGTTTTAAGTACCAAATTAAATTTAATGTGAAATATGCTTATAAGATCAAATAAAAAGTACACTCTCGGAAAACAAAAAGAGAAAGGTATTTCGCTAGGAAAGTTCATAAAAATGAACTGATGTATGATGCATGACTGGATTTAAGACGTAAAATACTGATAAAAACATAAAGATTTTTCGCAAAATTGATCAAAATTTTAGAATATCTCATTCTTAGTAGGCTGTGGAATTTTGACATCTTAGGAAGCCGAAAGAAAAAACTTTTACCAGCCTCTGTCAAATTATGAGTCCTAGTGCCATCTGAACGGTGTGATCTTGAAATAATGTAATTATGTAAATGATAGTCTTTACAGGTCTTTACCCACATGAACAACAGCAACGTCTTTACACTTGAATTAACATTTTAATTTCTTTTGAATTCTCCTAAAAATTCCATAGGTTATCTGCTACATTTTTACATTTTTTTTAAATTGTGGAATCCTTGAACAATTTTAAAAATTGCAGAGCCATGACAATTTTCCAATAGCTAAATAATGTGTTTTTTTTTAAATAAAGAATCTTGTAAATTTTCCAAAATTTTACATTTTTGAATTTTTTTCTCAATCCCATATTTAAAAAAAATCTAAATCAAGTATTTTTTTTATAAACCTAAGATCATGAAGACATCGTATTGCGGCGCTGGTGGTCTAGTGGTAACCGTGATTGCCTCTTACTCCAAAGGGTCTGGGTTCAATCCCAGTCGGCGCCATCGGGATTTTTTTGAGGTTTAAAATCTCTGATCACGCCTTCCTCTAGTTATTTTTCATCTACGTCATTCCTAATGTTTTAATCGCTGTTATCTAGTTTCAGGGCTGGTAGTGAGTATGTGATTTAATAGTAGTGACTTTAGTGACTAAAATAACGAAAATAGTGACCAAATAGTGACTTTCAAACAATAAAAAAGTGACCAATAGTGACATTTATTGGTCAGAAAGATATGGTTTCAATCTTCCATTGATTTCGATTGCCACTTCGAGAAATTTTATAAACTCACAAACCCGCATTTTTCATGTTTCTAAAAAATAAAACAAACGGTTTATGGATCCCATTATCCTCAAAAAATAAATATGAATTGAATAAGCATTTTTTTAAACAAACTATTTACTAAGTTGATATAAGCATCGAAAGCACACATTGATGATTAGATCGCAAAATAGAGGCACAGAGAAAAATGTTCAAATTCAAAGATTTAGACAAATTTTGACAATTTTATTAAGACAGTCAATTTTAAATATCTAGGATATTGATGAAGCGATGCGATAAGCGATTAGTATTTTAGTTAAAAAAAATCGTTCTCCTATTTGTAGCCGCTATAATGCAGTGGTCGTCTTCATTCCTTCCAAGAAGAGAATCTTCTGTAACACAAGGAAACAAACTCATAACTGTGGGACATAGACAACTTTTCTAGATCGCAGTTTTCAAAAGCCTCTCATTACTGTGGAACGAAGAAAATTATCCCAGGTGGAAAGTTCACGGACATAAAACAAAATTTGAATGCGCCTAGGTCTAAAAATCTCGATCGTGTAAAATTAGGGATTTAGGGATGCATTTTAGAGTTTTGGACAAGGGGGTAAGTCACTCAGCACATTGTGCCAAAATTAGATTCGGCACAGCTTGGGCACATCCATCGGCACAATTCCGTAGGCACTGGATCATTTTAAATAAAATGGGAGCACTACTAGACAACTGTAACATCCTCTAATTGAATATACCAGAGGAACTCAGACCAGCAGTTAAAATATAGATCTAAATACGAAATGTAGGTTCTAGAGTGGGCTCAAGAGACAGAGGCAGTTATTCAGACCTCATTAATACCCTTAACACAGACAAACAGACATAACACTCGCAAGTTGTTCATCGAACAAGCATTTAACGGTCGATTTAAAAGTATCCTAGTTGGTAGTACCGCCACCTGTGGCGCGCATAGTCAATTCCCTTGCGTTTGACGTTTACACACTACCGCCATCTATTCAGCGTACTACCCACCACTGTGTATTCAACAGATGGCGGTAATGTTTTAGCGACGATGTTTTACAGTGAGAAATATTCAATGTGTTATGTCTGTTTGTCTGTGCCCTTAATTCAAATAATGCTGCAACTCACACCAAACAAACTACAGAAGTCTATTCATCATCCTCTATAGTCGATCTTGACCCATATTCCTCACCGGTTCCAACTCTTTCCGACCGCTTTTCACATCACGAAAGACTAGGTCTCCGTTCTGCCTTTGAGGGCATTATAAAACTGTAAAACACAGAACTTTTATTATCCTATGAACACAAAACACCAAAATTTCGCACACCCGCCACTTCCCGCGTCATCCTCAACCCGATTTATCCCTGCGATTTCAAACAAAACATTCAAGGTGTCAGAAATACCGGTTTGCCGGGATGGGTATTTTACAAACAATCGCAGCTTGCTCTATGACCAGCACAATCGGCACATCTGTGGCACACTGACAAAAAAGATGACCCAGGATTGGTGTGCGGAGTGACCTACCCCTTGGTTTTGGACCATTTTTTTGGGCCTGAAAATTCAAGATCTCTAACACAACCAAATTGAGAAAATTGCAACCTGCGAAACCTCTTACAGTTTGTGATAGGTCTATAACCAATTCGAGATCAAACAAATAAAAATATTAGTGATTTCGTCAACATCAATTTTACAGTTAACATTTTCGTCTGTTCGCAACTTTTCTGGTCCGTCAGAATTTACACGCATTTTTAATGAATTCACATCAACCTTTCTAACACACCGTTTTACCAAATCAATCTGTGATTTTATGTGAGTTTTTGAAGTTTTTTTTTTACTCTCAACATCGGTGGTAAAAAAAGTGACTTTAGTGACTAAATTTTAAGGAATAGTGACTTTAGTGACCTTTTGATGAAAAAAGAGACTTTTTAGTGACTGGCTTGAAAATAGTGACCAAGTCACTAAGAAGTGACCTGCTACCAGCCCTGAGTTTGAAGTGGTTGATCCTAGGATTCTGATGCATTCGGTCATTATCGGTGTTATTGCATGATTTGAATTTGAACTTGATACAAAGATATCTATTATTATTATTTAGCTTTATTTATGAGGCTTTCAGCCTTAGGCTGGTTCGCCTCCAAACAAAGATATCTAGAGAAATCTGATAAACTTGTTCCTCTTCCTGCGCCTAGATGCAAACGGGCAAGTCTGACAGGCGCCATATCTGAAAATGAATTGTGTATTATTAAATACTATCATGGAAAACACATTTTGTTGCTGGACATCACGACTAACATTTTAAAAACTCATAATTATTATTTTTTAAATTC